ATGTTAAAATATTTTTATATTATCTTATATATTTAATAATGTTAAAAACCGATCAATCCAACCGAATCACACCGATTTGATTTAAATTGAATTGGTTTGGTTATCACATAATAATGGATTAGATTGGTTTAAAAATTTTATTAACCGATTAAATTGGATTGGTTTAAAAAATAATAAAATTTGAACCAAACCACACCACGAACACCTCTATTACTAAGTCAGATAAAAAAAAACTAAATTAGTTAGATACTTATGATAATTTTGATATTGCAAGAGAAATTTTCTTCAACTAAAACTTACCTACAGAAACTTTTGGATGCACTTCCTTGATAACCAAGAAAGTTTGTATCGTATTGTATCGGTCAGTACGGCCAGTATGTACCAGTTAGAATTCCATTTTAGTCAAAATCTGGTAATTTCGATCAAATTTTGGAGTACTGGTCAAAATTTCGTGTACCAACCAGTACATCGAAATTTGACTGGTACATTATGCAAGAATTTAATAAAAAGGACCTTGATTGGTGCACACCTGGATCCAACACCCGGGTGTGCACCCCCACATAAAAAAAAAAAAAGATTGGACAGGGTGGTGATGGGTTTTTTTTTTTCTTTCAATGGGGAGTGTGCACACCTAGGTGTTGACCCGGGTGTGCACACATCATTTCCCTAAAAAAAAAAAAGATTTCCTAGCCAAAACGATGTCATTTTGGCTAGGGGTGGCTTCTTCTTGACTTAAACCCTGCAATTTCAGATCGCGCAGATCTCTCCTCTATTCTTTAGCATCTAGCTAATCTCTCCTTTGTTCTCCAACTCCACCGTCCAGCCATTGCTCTCTCTCCTTAGACTTCTTCATTAAACGCTACAATTTTAGATTGCAAATCTCCCCTTTATTCTCTAGCATCCAACGGTCCTTGAAGCTTGAGCTCCACTCCTCATAGGTGGTCCAGCGATTCTGGCCGCTACCGGCAGTCTAGCTCTAGCCATTACTCTCTCTTTCACCATTCTCCAACAGCCCAGCTCCATCTCAGGTATCTTCACATTTTCATTCTGAGGTTACTTTTCTGCTGCTATTGGATTGGATCTCATTTGCTTTCTTCTTTTATTACAATTGACTGCATCAGTATGCATCTACCAAATCTTATTTCAAATCTATGGTATTACCGTGTTAGAACTAATGCCGTGCCTTTCACTTTTTGGTTGAATGTCGAGGGTTCAAAATCAAAATCAAAAACAAAAATGTTATTACTAAATGTTGAGTGCTACTAGTGAATGTGCATTTCTTTAAATAGTTTTGTCATTTTTAGATCCATTTCTATTGCTCTACAATTTGATGATTTAATTAGCAATTTACAAGAACCAGGAAATAAATTGTGTCAGGGGGATGTTGGGATTTAAAGATCAAAAGGGAGATGAGTACTAGCAAGAAAATTGTTGGAATTTAATAATGTGGTTTGGAATTGGATGTTACGTGCATGTGGATATAAGAGGAAGATGGTCAAGATTTAGCAGGGTTGCTCTGATATTTTTCATTTAATTTTTAGTGTAATTATTTGTTTTTTTTCCTCAGTGGGTGGTTGTCTTTGTAGGATATCAATTTCAAATCTATGGTTCAGGGTTGCTCTGATATTTTTCATTTAATTTTTGTTATGTAATTATTTGTTTTTTTTCCTCAATGGTTCTCTTTGTAGGATATCATTATTTTTCCTCGATGGTTGTCTTTGTAGGATATCATTATGAATACTAGTGGTTTAGGGACTTCCATAGGTGATTCTATTGGATCTATCCCTTCTAAAATAGATGATCCTGCTTGGGCCCATTGTTTGATTATCCCAGGCAAGAGGAATCAAACAAAATGCCTATATTGTGAGAAGCTTATACAAGGGGGTGGAATTACTCAATTGAAAGAGTACCTTGTCGGAGTTAAAGGCAACATTGGTGCTTGCAAAAAAGTTTTAGTAGATGTAAAATGGCAAATGCAAACAGTTGTTAAGTGAGATAAGGAAAGGGAAAGAAAAGAGAAAGAGACTTAGAGATATGGTTGGGAGTCAATATGGTTCACAAACATTTGTTGATGAAGATGATGAAATTGAAGAGATCCCTCAATCTCAATCACATGTAGCACAACAAAAAAAGAATATTAATTCCTATTTTGTACCAAGGACAACTTTTGGAGCCTAGAAAACTATAAAAAAATGCTTTGCAATCAAAAGAAAAACAAGAAGCTACTAGGATGGCTATTGCTAGATGGTGGTATGATGCTAATGTGCCTTTCCATGCTACATGATCAAAATACTATTTGCCAATGTGGGATGCTATCACATTTATGGGACCAGGTTTCAAGGGACCAAGATACCATGATTTGAGGGGTCCTTTCTTAAAATGTGTAGTTAAGAAGGTTAATGAATGGCTTTTATCCTTGAAGTCAACATGGAGTATTAATGGTTGCTCAATTATGGCTGATGGATGGACAAATCAAAGACAGCAACTAATAATCAATTTCCTTGTTGATTGTCCTAAAGGAAGCATGTTTTTGAAGTCCATTGACACTTCTGGTTTGACAAAGGATGTTGAAACATTGGAGAGAATGTTTGATGAAGCGGTGAGAGAAGTAGGAGTGGAAAATGTTGTACAATTTATAACAAACAATGATGCCTCATTCAAAGCTGCTGGGAAAAGGTTGGAAACAAAGTACAGCACATTTTTTTGGTCTCCTTATGCTGCCCATTGCATTAACTTAATGTTAGAAAATTTTTCTGATGTAAGATACTTTCCTATGATTGATACTACTATAGGAAAGGCAAGAAAAGCCACAAAGTTCATGTATAATCATTCATAAGTGTTAGCATTGATGAAGAGGGACTAGACAAATGGGAGAGATTTGTATTGTCCTGCTGTTATGAGATTTGCTACTCATTTTTTGAGCATCCAATGTTTGTTGAAATTCAAGAAGGAACTTAGACAAATGTTTACAAGTGATGCAAGGGTTGATTCTAGGTATACAAAAAGCAATGTGGGGAAAGAAATATGTGAAATTGTCTTGGAAGATAAAGAATTTTGGTTTAATTGCAAATTAGTTGTCAAAATCAGTGAGCCTTTGGTGAGAGTGCTTCGACTTGTGGATAATGAAGAGAAGCCAACTATGGCTACCTGTATGAGGCAATTGATAAGGCAAAGGAGACAATAAAAAAAGAATTTTAATAATAGGTTGTCTCACTACATGCCTTACATTAATGTGATTGATGCTAGATGGGATAAACAACTTTATAGCCCATTACATGCAACTGGTTGCTTTCTTAATCCATGTATCTACTTTAAGCCTAGCCTCAACAAACAAACTACTATTACAAGAGGTTTGCTTAATACTTTAACAACATTGATACCAAATGAGGATAAGCAAGATCTCATTAGTTCACAACTTGAGGAGTATAAAAAAGCTATAGGGACTTTGGGCATGAGTTTGGCTATTCATCAGAGAGAAAAGTTAAATCCAAGTAATTTTCTTTCATCTTAACCCTCTTTTCATTTTGTTTAAAAAAATTTTACTTTACTTATTTCAATGCACATTGTATTTTATTGTTTTTATAATTGCATGTTGGGATCCATTTGGAATGGATGCACTGGAATTGCAAAAGTTTGCAATTCAAGTGCTTAGCCAATGCACAAGTGCAACTGGATGTGAAAGGAATTGGAGTGCTTTTTATTTATTCATTCTAAGAGGAGGAATAGGCTAGAGCATGAAAGGTTGAATGCCTTTATGTTTGTTCGTTATAATTTGAAGCTTCGAGGAAGGTATAATATCTTAAAAGTATTATAATTGCTTTAGTTTTTTATTTTTATTTTTTTACATATATTCTATGCACGTTTATGTTTTATATAGAAATCAAACAAGTGTTAGTTGTGATTTTTGTTTATTTATAGAATTATTTATAGGGGCAAAGAAGCAGTGGATCCTCTTAATCTTGAAAATATTGACATATTAGCTGATTGGGTGGCTGAGGAACCAACTTTTCTTGATAAAGATGATTATGATGTAGATTGGGTAGCAATTGATGAGTCTTTGCCAAATCAAATCCTTGATGATACTGATAGTGTTGTTTATGATGAGGAAGATGTCCAATGGGTTCTTGAAAATGAAAGTGAACAACTCTGGGTTGGAGTTGATGGAGTTTCAGGTTATAGAATTCCTCCAAATAATGATCCTTATAATTATGTCCATGATTGTTAATTTTGTTGTTTGTTCATAATTGTCCCTTGACAGAAACAATTGAAAAACTCTTGTGATGAACCCATTAGGTATCTGTTCATCATTCAATCTTTTTAGTTTTTATAAATTGAATGCGATTTGTTATCATCTATTTAATGATTATCATTATTTTGATGTCTTTAACTTAAACCATCCAAAGAACCTTTGTTTGGGTTATAATAGGTTTTGATTAATAGTTGAAAAAAAAAAAAGGATTGTTATTAATTCAAAAGGTTTTTTCAAATTTTGTCTCCAATTACATTAATTTCTCTTATAATTATTTTAAATTTTGATATTTAATTTATAAAAATATATATTTATAATAATAAACCTGAAATGATACGTGTAAAATTTCGATATCTTATATGTATCATTTAGTAACAAAATCAATACAAATGCCAATACAGTATTGACTACCTTATTAATAACAGAAAGTTGTTATCAACAACTTAACATGTAAGTTCCTAACCTAGCCAATAATTATGCCTCCGGTGTTTCCTTTAGACCATCGGCTTTCAGCTTTCAAAGGGCAATAAAATGGAAGCCTCCATCTTTTCTAAAAGGTTAAAACCCCTTTTTGGTCCCTGAACTATTGCACGGACCCCCGAGTTGGTCCTTGAACTAAAAAAATCCCTGATTTGGTCCCTACTGTTTATCATTTTTACCTCGATTTGGTCCTTCCGTTGAAATTTCACTGTTATCTCACAACAATTTAATGACATGTCAAACATTTGTGACACGTCATTTGTATAAATGAATAAATAATGACGTGGCAACGTGACATGTCATGTTCTTGCCAACCCAACAAAGTGGGACCCACCAAATTTATGAATTTGCCATCATCTTCTTCCTCCAACAAACAAACCCAGCACCTGAGTTGAATCGAACCCAACAGCTCCCTTTTTTTTTCCTTCCTCTTCCTTGCCTTGCTTTCTTCATCATCATCAAACAACCAAAACCATAGAAAATATATATATATATATATATATTTTACCCTTGGGTTCGAGGAACCTAGGTGTGCTGGGTTCTTCGAACCCACGCCTGGGTTCGACGGAACCCAACTGGTTCGCGCCGCTGGGTTCCATATTTTTTTTACCCCTGGGTTTCGTTGAACCCACGCTTGGGTTCGACGAAACCCAGGGTTGGGTTCCATGGAACCCAACTGGTTCACCGCTAGGTTCGAGGGAACCCAGCGCCTGGGTTCCTTGGAACCCAGCGCCTGGGTTCCTTGGAACCCAGCGCCTGGGTTCCGTCAAACCCGGGGTTGGGTTCCATGGAACCTAGCGGCGAACTAGCTGGGTTCGAAGAACCCAGGCGTGGGTTCGAGGGAACCCAACGCCTGGGTTCCAAGGAACCCAACCCAGGCAAGCGTGCTGGGTTCGCAAGGAACCCAACGCTTGGGTCGGTTCCCCAGGCCTGCTGGGTTCCGAGGGGAAAGAGAAGGGAAAGGGGAAGGAGAAAGAAAAAAGAAAAAAAGAAAAAAAATGTAATTTTTATTTTTCATAATATTTTTTTATATTATTTTTTTTCCACATCATCACTTTTTGGTTATATTATCTTCCAGGTGGATTATTACATGACATGTCATCTGGTAATCGTTAAGTAATAGGCCACGTCACACAATTTTTAACGGAAGGACCAAATCGGAGTAAAAATGGTAAACAGTAGGGACCAAATCAAGAATTTTTTTAGTTTAAAGACCAGATCAAAGGTTTGTACAATAGTTCATGGACCAAAAAGAAGTTTTAACCTTTCTAAAACATGTCTTTCGCTAAATTCCAAAACACCATCTCATTTTTATTCTCTTCGAAAGCTAGACCGTACCATCATCATCTTTCCCAAAGCCTATGGAATTACACAAACTTGCTTTTCTTGCAGTTTATTGTCATACAGCGGTAGCAAAATAAGACAAAAGATTTTGGATGACCTGCTTGGTCTACATCAATTTCTCGAACAACTATGGCACGAGGCTAGTGTATTTAGATCTGCTATTTTCTAAATATATTACTTAAATTTTCTGCTTGATTAAATATAAATAAGAGAAAATAAAGAAATCAGCCTCAATCCAAACTACTACATTTTATTAATTCTCATACTCACCATTTTATACAATTTCTAAACGACAAACAACAATGTCAGGCACAGCCACCTACATTAATGAAATGGTGAGTATTAGTCCGGACTGATCATTAAATGGTGGGACTGATTGCCCTTTTCCTTACCTCTTAACACAAACTTTCGTCATAATAAATATCAAAAAAATTAAAAGACAAGTCAAAATCAAAATTAGGGGTCACTGCTGGTGACTGGTTTTCATCAATTTTGATCCTCTGATTGATCATCTGGCTGGGGATTAGACCACTTTTGTACTCTCTGCTTAGCCTTTTCAGCCTGTGAATTCTCAAAATAAACATATAACGTGAGGCTTGTTAGTTTGAATAAAACCGTGAAACATATTTTACTTTGGCAGGAAATGAAGCATGTTAAGGCGTAAAAGCATAGAAAAACTATACCTCCTTTTCCCAATCACTTCGTGATACAATGCTGGCCAAGACCACCGTCTGAACCGCCGTCCCGCCGAAGATCATCCCGCCCCATATACCCTGTTTCGTATCAAGAACCATTTTGTAAACATATATAATGACTATGAAATTTGCAAAAAAGTGTACGGTCATTGAAACTGTATAAGATTGCAAAACATTAACTATTAAATAATGATGACTTTTGACAATGAGTGTAATTTATTTTACAGTTTAGTGGGCTATGAAATTAAAATTAGAAAGGAAATTAAAGCTTACCATAACACCAAATTTGAAAACCCAACCCATCAAAAATCCAAGTGGAAGTCCAATGATATAGTAGCAACCAAGGTTTACGTATGCCACTATGGCTTGCCATCCGGATCCGACTGCTACGCCTGCAAAATGAAGAAATTGGGTTTTGATTGACTCAGCAATTTGCTGATATAATTGGAGGTTAAGCAAGAATTGAGTATATTACCTGATAAAACTGGCTGGATACTGTTAAGGAGAATTGTGACTGCGAGGAGATATGAAAGGGTATTGACTGCCTCGAGGACATCCGAACTGGAAGTGAATATCAAAGCCACCTTGTCACGGAGAGTCATGATCAGCACACAGAAGAAGAGACCGATTATGGTTGAGTGCACTACCGACACCACAGTCGCGAATTTGGCTGCTTTACCATTGCCTGCTCCAAGCTCATTTGCCACCCTCACTCTGTAAACATCAGTCACAAACCAAAGCGAGGACTTAGGACCTTCTTTCTTCAATGAATCAA